TGCGTGACGCAATATCAAAATGTTCACACAGATCAAATGTATCTATGGTCTTTATAATGTAATCAACAACACTTGCCTACACTTTGACAACAAATGTAAAGTTATCTTTCCCGGAACCACTTCCACAGTGGTCATTCATAATGTGTACATTTAAATCAGAACATTAATTAATAAGATATGCTCTTAAATTATTAACAAACTGAACATCAGACATCATCTGTGATCCACATTCAATATTGTATATTTCTATTTATGCATAATATATAGTCATATGTGCAATAACTCATTTGCAATATTATTCTGTGATATATATTACATGTTTACCATGTTTACGTTTCTTTGAACTTTATAATCATATTGATTACATTATTGATAAGTATTACAGTAAAAATGCTAATTCTACCACATTTCTATGTCTACAGTATTTATTTTGTATATATAGTATAGATTTATATTCATCTCACTGAAAACAATTTTATTCTGCAAATATTAAATGGAGTTTATTTCTTTTCAAAATTTCACCACTGATCACAATTCCAGTTTAATATTAAGTGTAGCTGGTAATTATTTGACTTTGATTGCAAATTAATCTTTCAAATTATCTAACATTTAACCTAAAGAGGTACCAAACTCTCTCCTCAGTACTTCTTTTTCCGTGCTGTTCCTGTCGTCCTTCATTGTGGATGTATCTCTCTTCATCAAAATATGTTTACCATGTTTGTTTCTTCATTTCATCATATACCATATCCCGTTATAGTTTGCATCACTCTCATCAGTCATACCTGATCTTTATCTGCTTGCAATATATCAACACCATCAGTGACGTATACTGATATCCTAATATATCAACCCACGCTTGCCGTAAAAGGTGACTATGCTTGTCGTAAAAGGCGATTAACGGGATCGGGTGGTCAGGCTCGCTGACTTGGTTGATGCATGTCATCGATCTCAATTGGGTGAGTAGATGCTCATGATATCAATCATTGGATTGTCTGGTCCAGACTCGATTATTTACAGACCGCCGTCATATAGCTGGAATATTGCTGAGTGCGGCGTTAAACAACAAACCAACCAACCAACCAACCTAATATCTCCCTCAATTGCATATCTCATATCTATCATCTCAAGTAACAGTACCGCTGTGATGGGAGATGTCTGTACAGTTTCCCCACATCAGTTACACATGTGACAGTGGAGTTCAGTCAGTATCTACTGTTACATTTACTTTCTGTATGTACAAATCAGTTATTGCTGCATCTTGGCGCATTTCTAAAAGGTGTCTGAGCTGCAGTACTTGCAGTTACTACTTGTATCTTGGATGACTCTATAGTTGTCGCCAGGTTAGGCTCACCCTATAACCTTTTGCTTCCTGGATGATTTCATTTTCATTGGCATCATCTGGCTTGTGTTTCATTTTACCTGACCTCAGTACATGCAGTTGTTGTTCATCAGGTGACCCAATCCTGACCCTTGTGTTCAGCTACTTGCGTTGCTATTGAACTTTGTTGCTTGCCTTGGGTAGTTGTTAGTTCCCCTCAGTTGTAAGTATATTCATATTGTCATAGCGACTGATTTATGACTACCATTGTCTGAAGTACATTTGACCAAAGGCAAATTACCCTGTAGCCATGTCTCCATAACTTAATTGTCATTAAGTTTTAGGCGCTAATCCCCGTTGTTAATCCTCACCAACATTTCATTGTATATTGACTGACAGCCAACCTGGGCTACTTTATCACTTCCCGTTAATTACTGTTATTTATAGTATGACATTTTTTGCCTTAATTGTTCACCCCCAGAAGTCCCATGTCCAGAGCAACGTCATTGTCTTTCCATTGTTGTTCATTACTATATATGTGCTACCATTACACTGTTACTACGGTGTTAGTCAAGCTTGGTATTCCGAGTGCTGGTGTAGGGACGACCTCGAGCAGGATGTGCCGCTCGTAGGAAACGTCCGCTCACCTCTTGTACGCCTGAGCTGGAAGGTCCGCTCATCGCTGTGTTTGTGTTGTCAGAGCAGGTATTCCGCTCATAGTGCAATTGTAGTTTATTGTTTACATGTTGTGCATAAAGCGTTCCTGGACAGTGATGTCGATTTTGTCCTTTGTTCCCGCAAGAGCTAATTCCCCGTCGACAGGCGCGTTGACAATATCAAAACATAGTCCATCTTGTATCCTTTATTTTGTAGGAGCCCTGCACGTTGTATCATAATACAATACGTTGCGATCGCCTTCCATATTGCCCTCAGTTCATAGTATACTTGTTGGGTCACAACCTTTAGGATCCTTGTTGCCATTGTGGAGGTTAATCATACTTTTATATTATAAAACATCTTCATGGCTCAACCAGACAGTGATTTTAGATTACAGGTTGATCAGGTTGTTGTTTTCATCCATCAGCTTGATCCCTCAGTTCGCACTTGTATACTCTCCCGTCTAGCAGGTAACGCCATTCCACATCCACCTCAGACCACATATGTAGCTGATGTTGGGTCTGGAGAAACTTTGCTTCGGCCGCACGTGCCTCCACCTCCAGTGGATAACCAACGGATTGTTGCCCCTCCAAAAACACCTTGGCTATCGTCACTGCTACTGTCACCCATTCAAGGGTTCTGCTGCAGATATTCTCAGTGGCTTCCCTGCTGATGCACCCCTTGATTCTGCATTAGAGCAGTTGGACATTGTATTTGGCAATGTGATGCCTGGCGAGACGCTCATATAGCGCTTTTACACAGCTCGCCAGGAAATAAACTAGTCTATTGCAGATTGCAGTTGTAGACTTTGCGACTTGTTATCAAAGATCGAAGTCTCAGGAATTCTCCATCTCCACAAGCCCCCTCCTCCATAACAATCATCAGTTTTCTGTTTAGATTGTGGAAGTCACGGGATTAATATGGGTCACCAGCTTTTAACGTCTAAGAGGCCCAATTCTGGAGCAAACTGAGGACTCTAACCAAAGCTCTCAACAGTAAGAAGCCAGAGTCCATACAAACTGTGTCTGCTCATTGTAATGGGCAACTCATCACATCATGTGCTGCAAACACTGTATGGGCTCAGACTAAACAGTGCAAAACCTATTAGGCATGAAGAGCTACAAGCAAGGTTGATGACGTTGCATTGGTGCGTAACGTCAACATACGTGGGAAGCAAAAACTACTACTACTACTACTGCAGTCTCCTTCTCCAGTGTCAGCACTATCCCCAGTGTGGGCACTGCCACCAATCACCCCGCCGCTTGCAAGTTGGTCACCCGCAGCTACACCATCCACACCAGTACCAACAGGACCAACCAGTTCTATCCCTGGCACAGGACCGTCAACTCCATAGCCACTACTTCGGCAAGTAGGATGAACCCTCACAAAGCTGAAGTGGATGAAAGTTTGTTGTAGTACAAAGTGTCTGGGTGTGAGCATGTAATTATACACTGCCACTATTGAATAGCGAGGTCGCCTTTTCCCAATAGGGGAGTGCATGTAGCCAGGTGGTGGTGCTAACTCTGACTAAGTTAGCCACATAAGTAGTGCCCTTCGTATCCCCTAGCGATTCATTATATATATGGCAGTTGAATGTCAGCCAACTAGCATCAACCTGGATACCCATTTACAGCCTCTGTGATTTCTCCAGCTTCACCTAGACGTTCCCTATATATTTTAGATATGTCCACCACTTCATATCATTGTGTAGCATATTGACTTCTTTTGACACCTGTAAGATGCTACCTTTCTTCTGATTGGCCCTTTGGTCCACTTCTTTAAACTTCCTTTCTCACCTGCGTTCATGCATTCTTATGACACCTGTCAGAGGCTACCTTTCTTCTGATTAGCCCTTTGGTCTACTTCTTTAAACTTCCTTTCTCACCTGCCCTCGGGCATTCTTATGACACCTGTCAGAGGCTACCTTTCTTCTGATTGGTCCACTTCTTTAACTTCCTTTCTCACCTGCCCTCCTCATGATTCTACATGAACTCTCATGGAGGCAGGTCTCTTATTTCCACCTTCCCTCCCATCATCTGATAAAAACAAAGAATAAACTTCACCATCATCCAGAACTACCTCATGTTTAAGTAGCAGCCCAGTGGCTGGACATATCAAACAACGCGCTGATACTGGCCATAACACGTGTCTTGTAAGTCCAAATAGTGACTTGTTAAGTAATAGATGTACACCAATTTCTGTGATCCATGTGAATTTTAACATAATCTACAGGCAATCTAATACACATAAATTTGGTAGGTTGTATTTATGAAATTTGCATTTTGTTTTCCTTCATTTGAACGGATTCGTTCTTGTTTCTCTACGTCTTGGTTGCGACATTCTTCAATGCGTGATAGACGTTGTTTTCACAGGTCTTTTCCTTTGTAAGCGTGTATATATTACCGTCAATTTGTAAAATGTGATTCTCTCAGGCAATTTATAAAATGTGTAAATATTTCAGTCATTTTGACTAAAAAATCTGCCCAGGTTGATTAAGACGATCAAAAGGGCCTACAAACATCACAACAGATTATTACGTAGGATTAGAAGCCAAACAACATAGAAATGTACTTTTCAACGTAACATTCGTTATCATAATAATACAGATGGAAATGTTTTTCAGTCACTTTTTAAAATAACTGAATATTTAGACGTTTAATAAATTTGTTACACATTTGACATTAAAAAAAAAAATATACACACTATAAAAAAAGCAATGCTCAGGTGAAATATTTACTTTGTGTTGCAAGTCAAAATAGTGTAAACGAAAATCGCAAAATTACCAAGCAAGTGACTTATCAAAACTTCGTCACCATTACCGATGCTACCCACAAAGATACCTACATTTCCTTATTATCTCGAAAACTGTATTTCATTTTGTTGATCAATGTGACCATACGCCCTTATTACTTCCCATAAAAGTGACTAATGCGCTTACGAATGGCGCAGCAGAGGTTGCGAACTAGTCTAGATTTCTGCTATACATCCGGGTACTCACTGGGAAAAAACAATAACAAAGGCAACAACCAGTCCCGGGGAATTGCGTTAGATCAGTGCCCCTTTAATGAAACCATGCCATCCGCGTTAGCGCTTTTAAGATTCTTTGGGGGTGTTACAAATATAGACGTTAAAATATCAACTTTTAATTAAACGAATTTTAAGTGCAAGTTTTCATTTTCCCTCTGTTTGTCTCGGTCTTCGTATTGTGCATTACACTTGCTACATCATGATCAAGTATATGCTCTGAAGCGTTGTTCCTCATAATAATGAACTTGACATCCATAAAGTTTCTTCCTCGTGTGTAAAATTGCCAAACACTTCATACCTAATACTGTTAGTGTCCCTTTACTAAAATGTCATTTTTTTCATCATGGCCTTGAGTGCAGATTATGAATATGATAACTCGCTGGATCTTCAGTATTGCCAAATTGACATATGTTTTGAGAAAGAGTCTTTCTTCACAGAAAAGTTCAAAAGTAGATAAATATTAGCACATGAGGTTATGCTATGAGAGAAACTCATTCTGTTAGTGTCACTATATTATGAAGTCTGGAGTGTAGATTGTAAATAATTATGATAACTAGCTGGATCTGGAGTAGGTATTAGCAAGTTATGCCCAGCTTTAGGAAAGACTCATTCTCCATGAAAACGTTCAAAAGTAGATTTTCTTTTCTAGCGCCATTCTCTCCATGTCATCCACCAGTCCGGCAAACCTCTTCAAATCTAACTCTTTGCACTTGACAAACCAGCTAACAAACTCCTCTCCCAATGCTTTCACCAGGTCTGTATCAGCTTCGAGATCCTTTAAAGCCTCGTCGAGGGTATAGGGAAGAGCTTTGCCCTCTTTCAAACTCGCCGTAGGTGGGCATACCAGCTTGTTCTTGACCCCATCCAATCCGGCAGCAATTGTGGCCGCCATGACAATGTACGGGTTGCTTCTTCCGCTCGGCATCCTGTTCTCTAGGTAGGTTCCTGAAGGTCCGTGGTTCTTCACACGGAGAGAGGCCTCGCGGTCTTCAATACCCCAGAAGATACTTCCTGGAGACCAAGGCTGGTGAAGTCTCCTGTAGCAGTTGATTGTGGGTGAAGTCAACGCAGTCAGTGCCTTGCTGTGTTTCAGGATCCCTGCAATCCACTGTTTTGCAGTTGTTGATAACCCATCACTGGCCTTTTGGTCATAGAAGGTATTTTCCCCTGTATCTTTGGAGAGCAATGAAAAGTTGTAATGGGCCCCACATCCAGTTTCCTCCAGATCTAGCTTGGACATAAAAGTGGCCTTCAGGCCATTCAAATCAGCCATCTCCAGTAGGCCTTGTTTTAGCTTGAATGTTAAATCAGCTCCTTCTATGCCATATTGCGGTTTCATCACAGCTTCAAACATACCTGACGCGTATTCAGAATGGATTTTATCCATATCAACGCCTGCTTTGAACAAATCTCCGTCAAACTTGAACAGCAGTGGCCCATTTTTGTTTTGATTTCTGTGACACATGATGGCCTTTCCATCAAATATTGGTTTCATTGTATCAGCATGGAGCAGAAAATATTCTATTTCAAATCCAGAATATAAATCTAGGCCGAGTTCATCTAGACGTTTGATCTGTTGCCTCAGAACGTACCTAGGACAGGCTTCCTGGGGAGAGTTGTCGGTCTTCCATTGGGATTCACACAAAATTTCAGCGACCTTGGCTTTGCCATCTCCTCCCCACGGAATCGGTCTAAATGTATCAAGGTCGGGCACAAGGGTCATGTTTCCATAGTGATAACCTTTCTTATGCGGTAAAGCAACCACTTCAGTTTCATGGCCGAACATCAGCAAACCTGAAAGAAGATGTACTATGATTAACAGTTACCTTCACTGTTGACTTCACTGAACTAATGTTCTGCATCGATTTAGCTCACTTAGCTAGTATTTACGCACTAAGATTCAGAAAACAAATACATGTACCTTCTGTTGTGGCACATCGAAACGGAAATGTTTAAGATTATAGCTACGTTTGTTTCACAGTTGTAATCACTTTCGTGGACGGTATGGTAGTTTGTCTGGCCTTCATGGTTAAGTGAAATGGTTAAGGGTAATAGATTCTGCTTGCCTTATTTTGTTTCTAGTAAGATCTAAACACAGATATTTAGCTAAACACGTCACAGGTCCTAAAAGTTTTATCATCAAATCCTTATGTTGTTCAAAGTAGGTAGGCATCTGTTAATACGAATACATAAACAGCTATAACAATACAACCAGATAGATAGAATCTGTATACTTATGGCATACACCAGATGTTCTAATGTAATGTGTAATGTGATCCGTAAGGACGTTAGCCCACTTTGTTGCACATAATTCAATTATCATAGTTCAATATATCATATAATGTCAGTGTACTGTGTCTGAGTTTGTATCCATGTTAAACTGCGGCATGGTATCTCAGTGTGCTAGCACTATAAATCGGCATAAGGCTTGACAAGTACAAGCAGCCACAGACACGTGCATGCACGTCGCTATATAAGTGCAATAATCTGGGATTCGACGTTAAACCCCACTTCAACTCACCTCACCTATCATATAATGGGTACGTTTCTCCGCAGGATAAAGCCAGCGGATAAAAACGATATCCGTTTGGGATAGAGAAACAAATTTCAAAGGTCATGTAGAGACCACGTTCAGTGTTTATAAGCAAATCATTCGGCGATCGAGGCAGAATTAACCATCGGGAATGACATTTATGACAAAGAGGTTATCACGTTTGTGTGTTTGGGGATATCTTTTTTAGGAATAAACACTTCGTATTTAGCTCGCCAAATGCAATGTTTATTCCTTCGCATTATCGGGTGACGGTTGACCTGATCAGTATCTACAAATATTAACCTTTTATCCCTAAGTGTTGTCTTATGCAGTACACTTTAGTCCTTTGCCTTTGTCCTTGGCTTATTGTTTATAGCTTCGCTATAGCTTACCGGTATAACTTTTTATTACACAGTTAAAAGCAGAGTCCACTGTACGATTCCGACTACATCATAAGCATGTGTTTATGAATCACTATCAAATAGTGATGATACCAGGTTTCGCGAAATGGTGAGCGTACCCTGCCTCACCGGGTCAAACACATGCAAAGGCAAGTCAATTGTTAATCAAAACCACGGGAACACATGGTACAAGTCTAAATAGAGAACTCATATCGGATTTCATTTTTTCAGTGATGGTCAAGTTTCGTACATAACAAATTATATTTAAATGTAGTCTGATTAAAACTTTTAATGCTTAATATTTTAAACTATTATAACAAGTTGTAATCCCATTATCTTTTTACGGTAAGACATTACGCCAGTACATGTCGTAATATGTTCACAGTGAATATAGTGTAGTATCCCTAACCTAGTGCAATATCCCAATATCCCAAGATACACTTTTATTAACTGCAGGGTTCAATGGAAGGATCAGTATAGTAATAGGGCGGCAACAATATTTCTCTACTCGACTGAAAATAAGGACATTCCAAGAGAAAATGAAACTCACTGATAGAACGTGTAAACAGTTTGTACATAAAAAACATTTGGGGATCATCATACGCTTTAATCTGTGTATAATGCACTTTCAACTTCCTAGATATGAATATGTATGTAGTTCACCTTCAATTCACCTTAAATGATCGGAGTGATGAGCGAACGCTTTAATCACGAGGTTACCCGACCGCCCCTCTCAAACTTAAAACCGCATATACTTGCACTACATCAGGTTCAACTGAACTAGCTGTAATTGTATTTTATTCATAGCACGTGTAAGAGCGCCCTTGTGGTCTGGTGGATAGACAGTATAGTAAGTCCGAGTAGGGTAGTTTTGTTAAACCAGTATCTCTGTGGGCCAGTACTATAAAACTGGCATTAGTGCGGACTGTTACAAGCAGCTACACACACACACACACACACACACACACACACACACACACACATCCAAACACACACACACGCGCACACGTACACAAGGACACCCACATGCATGCATGCAAGCACGTCGCAATGTAAGTGCTATAATCTTATATCACTAATACCTCTGTGAAAAGGTGAAAGTCTCTTCCATGTATAGAAGGGTTTTCTCTGTCGAAGTTGCATTGGCATTCGGCATGTATAGACACGCATGCGAAAATGATTCCATACATACAGCTTACCCTCAAATGTGTCAAGCCCTCCTTCCAAATACTTAGCAGCGTTGCGGCTTGGTACTACATGGCCACGACTTCTTCCATTGATATCACAAATAGCAAATCTGATGTAGTCATAGTTCGCTATCCCCGAACGGACCCGTTCCAGCTTCGACATGATGACGTGGTGGCGATGTAGTCAGTCAATGAGTATGTCTGATGTGTTATGTTCGAAAATGTCACTATAAAACGTTTAACGAGAGAGTTACCACGTCACGAGCACACAGGAAGTGGTAGTGATGAAAACTGTTTTAACCCCGGTATTCAATTTCTGCATTTGCATCTTTAAAGCAAGCTGTTACGTCTGTACCGCAATAACCAGATGCAATGATTTGATTGTCATATCACTACAGGCACCAACAGGCGAAATACCCCTGGATCTACGCCGAGAACAAGAACCCTTGTTCTTGTTCTCTTACTTACTTACTTACTTTGGAGATTTAACGTGCGCTTTCCGACTGGTGCGTATTTCGCACACGGGCCCGGCCAGGCCATTTAATGTGTTTCCGAAAGGGGCGAAAGTGGTGTGTGCAACCCAAGAGGGGGCTTTAGGGGTTGCTTATATAGAATTTGGGAATTTTGAGATTTGGAATAGATGTCGATGGGGTAGGGGAGGAGAACTAAGGGAGCTGGGTATGGTGGATTTTTGTGTGTTTATGTAATTTTGATTTGGTGGATTATAGTGTTTTTAGATGCGTTTTATTAGTTCCGTTTTGATTAAGAATACGCCTAAGGCCTTGAAGTTTTCTAGTTTATTTTGTGGGTTTAGTATTGCTTCTAGAGTGAGAGCCTGGTTTAGATTGAGGGTGGTTTGTAATGCGGTTCGATGTGTTAGGTAGTGTGTGCAGTGGATGAGTGCGTGTTCTGGGGTTTCTAGTTGTTTGCAGTGTGGGCAGTTACCTGTAGTATGTTTTTTTATTTTTTTTAGGTGGTTATTTAGGTTGGTGTGTCCTGTTTGGAGTTTAGTGATTACTCTGTCGATTTTTTTGGATGGATGGTGAATTTTTGGTTTGGTTAGTGGTTTGCTGAGTACTTTTTTGATTTGGCTATTTGAGTTTAGATATAGGTTATGCCATTTTTTGGTGATTTTTTGCTTATTTACACTTTTAATTTCTGATTTTGAGATGGGTAATTTTAAGCTTATTTCTGGGATTTTGAGGGATAGTTTAGCTGCCTTATCGGCGTTTTCATTACCGTATATTCCTACGTGGGCGGGTATCCACAAGAAAGTTATTTGTTTGCCTGCCTTAGTTAGGTCGTTGGAGCTTTTAAGTATTAGATTTATTAATTTAGGTCGGTTTTTGGTATTTTTGTTTTGGAGGGCTTGCAGTCCACTTTGGGAGTCGGTAAGTATTAGGATTTTTTTGTGGTTTTTGGATTCTTGACTATGGAGGGCTGAGGCCATGCCCATTAGTTCTGCCGTGAATATTGATTGGTTGTTTGGGAGTCGGAAGGATTGTGTAGTTTTAGTTGGTTGTGTGGTATGGACTCCGAAACCTGTGTGTTTGGAGGTCGGATCTGAAGATCCGTCCGTGTAAATGTGACACCAATTTGGCCAATTTTCGTGTATGTATGCTAGTGTGGTGGTTTTAGCTATGTTTGGGTCGGTTTGTTTAATTATTTGGCTAGCTAGTGTTGTGTCTATTTTGGGTATTTTAAGTTTAGGGGTGAAGATATTTGATTGTTTGCAGTTTTGTTTAAGATTTTTAATTTGGTGTTCATTTAGGTAGTTTGTTATTCTTTGAGATATTGGGGTAAGTAAGGGGTGTTTACGAGCTAGAGCTTGGTTTTTGGGTCTGATATTTTGGTTTATTAGGTTTTGGATCAGAGGGTTTGATTAGGGTGCGGCCCAGAAATTTAAGCTTAGCTGTTCCCTGCGTAGACTTAGTGGCTTCTCACTTTGCCGGCAGATTATATGGATTAAGTAAGTCTAATTAAATCTAATCCGCATTAGCCGGATTACGGCAGATAAGCAGTCACGCATTGCTAGAGACAGGCGTTTACTAATTAGCTGATATGAACCATGTTCACGTAACTTAAGGTGAATGTTAGTGATATGAGTTCACGTGTCAAAATGTTTAATATAAAGTGTTTAATCAAAATTAATAAGAATAAAGTGAGTGAACACTATTAGTGAAGCATGTATATAACGACGGACATAATATTTCATAATCCACCCTCTTCAATATAATGATAAACGATCTATTCGAGGGCCTATCCCCTAAAGTAAACACATCAAAATTCGCGGATGATGGAGCCATCTGGATCCGCACTAAAAGCATGAACATGGTCCAAAATTTACTCCGAAAATCTCTTAATAAAATACAACAATGGGCTGACAAATGGGGCTTCTCCCTTAACTCAGAAAAAACAACAGGAATAGTATTCAAACATAAAAACATGAAACCCGCCTCCCCAATCCTCCAGCTAAACAATCAAACAATCAAATTTCAAAAACAAACCAAATTCTTAGGACTTATTTTCGATGAACATCTCACCTGGGATGCTCACATCCAAAACCTAACAACTAAATGCAGTAAAGACCTAAACACCCTAAGATGCCTAACTGGCTCTAACTGGGGAGCATCCAAAGATACCTCCTCTCTCTCTACATATCACTAATTAGATCAAAACTAGACTACGGCTGCGCCATATACAACACCCTAAACAACTCTCTATCTAACAAACTTGACTCAATACAATATCAGGCTCTCAAACTAATTACACGCACCCAACATGGCACCTCCTACACCTCACTTCAGGCCTTAACAGGAGAAATGCCACTAAGTCTACGCAGGGAACAGCTAAGCTTAAATTTCTGGGCCGCGTCCCAATCAAACCCTCTCATCCAAAACTTAATAAACCAAAATATCAGCCCCAAAAACCAAGCTCTAGCTCGTAAACACCCCTTACTTACCCCAATATCCCAAAGAATAACAAACTACCTAAATGAACACCAAATTAAAAATCTTAAACAAAACTGCAAACAATCAAATATCTTCACCCCTAAACTTAAAATACCCAAAATAGACACAACACTAGCTAGCCAAATAAATAAACAAACCGACCCAAACATAGCTAAAACTACCACACTAGCATACATACACGAAAATTGGCCAAATTGGTGTCACATTTACACGGACGGATCTTCAGATCCGACCTCCAAACACACAGGTTTCGGAGTCCATACCACACAACCAACTAAAACCACACAATCCTCCCGACTCCCAAACAACCAATCAATATTCACGGCAGAACTAATGGGCATGGCCTCAGCCCTCCATAATCAAGAATCCAAAAAACACACAAAAAATCCTAATACTTACCGACTCCCAAAGTGGACTGCAAGCCCTCCAAAACAAAAATACCAAAAACCGACCTAAATTAATAAATCAAATACTTAAAAGCTCCAACGACCTAACTAAGGCAGGCAAACAAATAACCTTCTTGTGGATACCCGCCCACGTAGGAATATACGGTAATGAAAACGCCGATAAAGCAGCTAAACTATCCCTCAAAATCCCAGAAATAAGCTTAAAATTACCCATCTCAAAATCAGAAACTAAAAGTGTAAACAAGCAAAAAATCACAAAAAATGGCATAACCTATATCTAAACTCAAATAGCCAAATCAAAAAAGTGCTCAGCAAACCACTAACCAAACCAAAAATTCTCCATCCATCCAAAAAAATCGACAGAGTAATCACTAAACTCCAAACAGGACACACCAACCTAAATAACCACCTTAAAAAAATTAAAAAACACACTACAGGTAACTGCCCACACTGCAAACAACCAGAAACCCCAGAACACGCACTCATCCACTGCACACACTACCTAACACATCGAACCGCATTACAAACCACCCTCAATCTAAACAAGGCTCTAACTCTAGAAGCAATACTAAACCCACAAAATAAACTAGAAAACTTCAAGGCCTTAGGCGTATTCTTAATAAAAACGGAACTAATAAAACGCATCTAAAAACACAATAACCTACCAAATCAAAATCACATAAACAAACAAACATCCACCATACCCAGCTCCCTTAGTTCTCCTCCCCAATCCCATCGGCATCTATTCCAAATCTCAAAATTCCCAAATTCTATATAAGCAACCCCTAAAACCCCCCTCTTGGGTTGCACAGACCACCTTCGCCCCTTTCGGAAACACATTAAATGGCCTGACCGGGCCCGTGTGCGAAATACGCATCAGTCGGAAAGCGCACGTTAAATCTCCAAAGTAAGTAAGTAAGTAAGTAAGTATTTCATCATTACGTCCTTGCATCATGGCGAATGTACAAGTGAATGTGCGATTTATTCCAAATAGTCGTGGCGGTCAGAACCTTTGCTACCAGGGTCATAAATTCAGCATAAAGAGTAGGAGAGGAGAGAAGGTGCACTGGAGCCAAAGAACTCCCTCCTCTTCCTCTTCGACGATCTGACATCAACCTTCCTGACATGTATAAGACAACCAACAACGGCGAAGACTTCCTGCTACATCAAGACGACGATATGCTCATCTTCTCCACAACCCAAAACTTGTGCCACCTGTCTGTCGCTGAGGTCTTGTTCTGTGATGGAACGTTTAGTGCAGTCCCAGAGGTGTTCCACCAGCTTTATACTGTTCACGCCCTTGTTGAAGGAAAAATGTTTCCTTTAGTGTATGCCCTCCTGCCCAACAAGAAGCAATCAACATATCAGCGCTTCTTCACCATCCTCCAACAGAATGCTGAAACCCGCAAGACCAAGAACCATCTTCACTGACTTTGAGAAAGCTGTCCAGAATGCTGTAAGACATGTTTTTGACTGTGAACTGAAAGGGTGTCTCTTTCACTATCGACAGGCAGTTTGGCGCAATGTCCAGAAGTGTGGTCTGCAAAGTGCCTTTGCAAACAACCCAGATGTGAACTTATTCGTGAGGAGAGCTTCTGCCCTACCTCTACTGAGACCTGAAGATATCGAAGATTTCTGGTTCAATGCCCTTGAAGCTGCTAACATGGCAGACCCTTCAATTTCGAAGTTGGCTGATTACGTAACTGAGCAGTGGGTTGAGGGAGAAGACAGAAATATGTGGAACCATTTTGACACGCTAGGTCCACGAACCACGAATCATGTTGAGGGGTGGCACGCAAGAATCAACAAAATGACCACCAACCATCCCAACATCTTCAGGTTCATCACCCTTATAAAATCTGAACAATCAATGACCAGTCTGGTGGTAAGAAACGCCCCAAGAAGAAACAGTATCGCCCACTGGAGCATGAACTAGACCGCCTGAAAGTCTGTCTTCAGAATAATAGCAAGACAATGATGGAATATGGATATGCCGTCTCCCATCTGGTTGGATTGTAATATTTTATTGTTGTGATATAATGTATGATGTGCAAATGTAAATGTATATAAAATTGTATATGAAAATAAAGAATCATGTGAAAGAATTGTGTTTAAAGAATTATGTGAAAGAAATGGGTTCATATGGTAATCATTTGGAATAAGAGCTACCTCACCTTGACGGCAGTCAGTCAATTAATTTGTGTTTAATCCCTCCATTATTTTTGGATTATCTTAATTACCCTAGACAATACCTGCTCTAACGCATTGCTCACTCTCCTGTCAAGTCTCTCCCCGTTTATTTGGTAACCCATGAAAAATAAGATTAGACCCTCGAGATTGTGCTTCTGTCTGATCAGTTTTTAATTCTAGTTCGGCAACTCTCTTTCTAAGAGAATCATTTTCCTCCTGTAGAGACACGAGACGCTGATTGCTGTCCTGAGCAAACCTATCAAGCTTGTCGCTCATGCTCATCATCTGTCCCTGCAGCGCGGTTAGCTGTATAGCAAGGCCATTCAGGGTGGTCTGCTGTTGTTCTCCAGATATGCAATTACCAGAAACATTTTGGATTGATAGTCACGTTTGCATTCTATCAGGAACGGATTTGGGAGGCCCTAGGTTAGATTCGACATCCCCGGCGACGAGCAAGAGTGTCGTAGTCAATAGCAAACATGTCAGCCCGAGACGTGTCCCCTTGGGTAGTGTTATACCGGGGTGCATACCATGTGGACGAGTGTGGTGAGGATTGAAACATCCTATTTAATCCTCCATGCAACAATATCGATACCCATATCCTCTGATACGTTAGAGTGTACAATAAAAGGGGATATTCACCACAAAAACGTGTCCAAAACAGTCCCGAAGTCCGGTATCCAGAAAAAAGTTTCTCAGAGCTGATTTACAACAGCCGCCATACACGAGACCACGTGACTATCGTATGCGAGCTCTGCATAAAGTTACTAATAACACTTTTATATTAGAAGAACTACGGTAATGCGGGAAACTGCATTGCTGTATTACATCTACAATTGCGTCTCTTTAATGTTGCATTATTTCAAGCTAACATTGGCATTGTGAATCATATGTGTTATCTTAGTTATTGTACCGTTATTTACAGTTCCATTCTGATTGATTTGTGTATAATGTAATGTGTGATTATTTGATATGTTTATAAGATTGAAGCGAATTCTTTATTGATTTATATTCTGCTAATCATGAGCAGTTATATCATAAGAAATCACGACATTATGACAATCATTTGTAACAATATAATTTATGATTACTAGATATGTATATATGACTAATTGAATTGAAATGATTATTAAACACACTGCACCTGAATAAATCTTGGAACGCTAGCAACTCTGATGTCATTATTTATTCTCAATTTTTCCATGACCAGACAATCCAGTGATTGACATCATGAGTATCGATCCACGCAATTGGGATACGATGACATGTATCAACCAAGTCAGCGAGCCTGACCACCCGATCCCGTTAGTTGCCTCTATCAACAAACATAGTCGCCTTTCACGGCAAGCATGGGTTGCTGAAGACCTATTCTACCCCAGATGCAATGTCTCAGGTTCCCAATGGCACGGTTTACAGCGTCTCACGACCATAAGAACCAGGCAATGGGGCAAGTGTCTCTTCCTAGACACGCGGCCAAACTGAATGCAACATGTACATAACGGGGACTGTATGAAATAATGCTACAGTAAGTACTGTTATAAGGTTAAAATACGTCTAAAAAACATTAGAAAATGGTAACAAATAAAACCGTTTATAGCTGCAATGGTGAGTTGCATTAGATATACAAAGTTTGTGACAGAGAACTTTTAGATTGAAAGGAATTAATAGATAAAAGACATTTCACATTTATCACAAGAGTATTCTGGACATTGCATATTAAGAGTACTTTTAGTCCGAAAGGAATTACTAGATAAAAGACATTTCACATTTATCATGATGATCAATCTGGCACGTAGGCTTCGGTATTTTTCCGATTACGACACACATGAGTTCATGGTCAGACCTAACTTTTAACGAATGAAAATGAGGTATTGTGACATGTGACAAAGACAGGCCAGGCCCGAACATTATAAAATGATACCTTTAACATCAGAAGAGGAGAGCGTGGTTTGCAATCGATCGAGTCGAATCCCGATCGATCTAAGTTCTCCTCATTTAGTGACGTGCCTGGTCGGTCTGATCCTGTCGTGTATTGATAGATGGACTGAGAGTAAGTAAACTATGTGAGTATATAGCTGGTGTTGCGTTTCTCTATTATGCGAGTATGAATGCTGTTGGAGACAACTTGGAGTAATCGTCTTTAGACCAATCACTCCTTGACGGAGCTGAACCGATGCTGACAAGGCGAGTTGCAAAGTCATGGCGTAATTGACCATGATGACCAGGAACGGCAATACTTTCAGTAACTGTAGTAGTGTCGCACTTGACGCCCGAAAGCAGTTATGACAGTAAGTTATTTGAACATATCACCTATAGCGGCACGGCTATAGTTATGTTTAGTAATTCTCACTGCACATTATAATTTTTGTTTCATGCTGACAAAAATAAATAGCTTCGAAATAGCATAGCTATGTGTATGAAAGAACATGAGGTACACGTATGGTACTGAGTATTTCAGTAACCTCACGTCACGAGGCAAATGGAGGATACTACATTGTGCCATGGTTCTGGCAGGAACCACAATCGAGGTCTGGGATTCGAACGTACAGCTGTGAATTCGGGCAACTAAGATTCATAACTTGCATAATGAATCCGGAAAATAGATGTTTATACTTTATTGAACTGCCGTCCTGTAGGGGAATAATGTAAACAGGCTGTTTCATCTACGGCTTAATATCAAGGAATCCAAAGGTTGGACCAAAACAGCCACTTAGAAACAGGTAGTCAGCTGAGACCTCGAACAACCAGGAAGACATCTCGGGAAGACATTGATAGCCAAAGACAGAACCGGTCATTAGTGAAAGCCAGAGACGGAACCCGAAGCCACAGTGGGCTGCATGTTGTAGACCTTCTCAACTCGGATTGGAAACGTGTTTTGTTATAGGAAGCCGACAACTATTGATAGATTCAAACATGTAAACACAAGTCGGAAGGAGTTAAAACCAAGAAAATGATCATGACTGAATTTTGAGACATGTTTCCAAATTAAAGCTTTAAGAAATTCAATGTATATTAATTTTATTAATTTGGATCTGACCCACGCTGTAATCAATCAAGTTTGACAGCCAGTGAAAGGTAACACAGATGGCATAGACTGACATCACAGTGACACCAGATGGAAACCTAAGGAGCACATAGACGGGCAAAAGCTTAGTAACCTTCTTTCAGTTGCTAACATCAAAGCATAGTTTCTAACTGCACCAAAGCGAGAATCCACCTACTGGCACAACATGTCTTTTTGTATTAGTTAATCAAACCTAAAAAAATGTATTATTATCTGGTATCATTACTATTTGATAGTGATTCATAAACACATGCTTATGATATGGTCTGACTCGTACAATGGATTTCTATTGGATATGGGAAGGGTTTGGTCGCTTTATTTACTAAATACCTGGGTAATAATAACTACCACGTACGATACATATGCTTGTACGGTTTCTGACTTATGCCGGTTTTAAAGTGCTAGTCCACGGGTATACATGCCGCAGTTTAACACGGATACCCACTCCGACACAGTATAATGACTCCGAGTAGAACTGTCCATGTTTTATCCTCTTAAAGCCTAACGTCATGTAGGGTAACAACAAGAACATATTTAACGTATTGTGGAGTGACGCGGTCGGGATTCGAACCACCGTCCTTCTGCTCTCTGTGCAGACGCTATATCCACTAGAACACGGAGGCGGTTCCAGATGGTAATAATGCCTTTGTTATAGAATCCATCGGTCTTCAGATCTGAGCGTATGATCAAGGACTGGACATTTATTATAGGGGGAGAGGGGCGGGTGAGATTATTCTAGAGAAGGAGTGTGTGTGTGTGTGTGTGTGTGTGTGGGGGGGGGGGGGGGGGGGGGGGGGGGGGGGGGGCATAAAAAATGAGTTCTATGTTTTTCAAATAAAAGTGATAAATTGGAACATCTAGGGACTGTCCATTTATTGTTGGGAGGGGGTCATGGAGAAATGTAGCATTCTTCGGTGATCCGAATATATGATAAATGGCCAGTCCCTCGGTATGATACACATGGACCGTGAGAATGCCAGTCATCACTAACACCACAACGAAGTTAGCCACAGTCCCATCTCCCCCGCTTCCTCTAACGAGACATCATAATTATTTCCGGTCTTGATAAAGGCTTTATAAAGGGCACGGGAATCTGGTATCCGTCTGATATATGAGAGAGAGGCAGATACCTGCTATGTAGGACAGATAATTCAATCCGTCGCATACTCCCACTGCTCTCGCTGTATTATGCTCTCCCTCTCCCAATGGAATATCTTTCGGCCGATAATCGAGGTATTAAGGTTAACATTAGCACGGTTACCTTGGGCACACGTGTTTTGTGGTCGAGAACAGCTAGAATGTTAAAAACAGAGCTGTCGCATCGGGTCACATTGTGTCGTTTCGGCCGTTCATGGCTTGTAGGCAAAATCATGAGATGTGTTATGCACAATATGCCCATTGTAAGCGTTTTGTGAAAGATATTTTGTATATGTAGCAAGAATAAACATCAGGCTCTCTTCCCTTACCTGATATATTTAACGATACATTAAACTTATCCTGAGGACATCAAACAATACCAATACGTGGAGAATGTAGCCGACACGAAACAAATTGGACGAAGAGGCAAAGGAGAAGCTGACAAAAGTCTTAGAGTGAGTGCGTATGGTTTCAGGCTGCTTTTAGCAATATTCCAGCAATATCACGGCGGGGGACACCATAAACTGGCTAAACACATTGTACCCATGTCGGGAACCGAATCCGGGCCTTCGGCGTGACGCGACACGCCTCGAGCCGCTGTTTAAGCCATCGTTTGTCGTTGTGTTTCGGATCATAACGCTTGACTCAATATCTTTTCAATGTACTATTTAAGAAGAAAACTCAGTTTAGGGGACATGAGTTCAGTTATTGTAAGTGTATTGAATGTGATCATACTGATGATGTAGGTAGTCTTATATAACATCCTCGTGTCATGTGGGAGATTCTACAATAACTGTTGCCAATGTTATTCTTTACCATCAATTTCGCCCAGACCCTTTCCAAATAGTTGTATCTGTCGTTCACTTTGCATAGTATGGTTACATTATGACTTGGTTTACTTTATGGATTTGGCAACTATAGGTTTTATTCACGGTTTATTTAGTTGACGTTTGTGAAGGCCGGTGCAATCTCATAACCTTCATATACATACGTGTATATTTTAATAATTTAATGCAAGCACAGCGCAAAGATATTGAAGCTGACACTGTGTGTGAAGAATCAAACTTAAAGCCGTCCACACAATTTTGATCGGGTTTCATAACATTATCATATTTATTGAACATTCATTTTGTATCATTATTCATCCATGACTGCATTTAAAAGTATCATAATAAAAGTTGATATGTTGTATGTATGTGGTATGCCGTATTTTGTTTTGTGACCCTACTTTGACGCCCGATCTTCACGTATCCCCGTATTACTTCAATTTTACGTCACCTCTCTAAAACCTCTTGGTTTGTGATGTCAGACGTGTATGTATGGTCCCAGGAAAAAAACTGTGCATTCAATTTCACTGTTGATTTATACCTGGTGATTATCTTCGCAGATATATCCATGATGTATTTTGTTTTCATCACAAAGCAATCCCTGCATCTTGTCTTTTGAAATATAATATATATTGCATCTTTACTTAGTTCTGTGTGTGTTTCATTTTCGCGTTTACATTTTCAATATGACCTTTATGATCTGATATTGCAAAGATTCAAAAGAAATATACTGAGCTACAGATCCTCGAATTTTTTGCCCTACATGTTAATGTATAGTCATGAAATCGATTTACGGGATTTGTATGTGTGATAGGAGAATCGTGGTGTTACGTTTCTTGCTTTTTAAGAGCTCATTTCCAAACTGAGGAGCAGAGGAAACTATATCTCTCATTTGATTTTATCATATGTTAGATTTTCAATTGAAAATGTCTAAAGTTAGCGATATGTATATATCCAAAACATGAACTGTACTGGCGCGTACCTCTACATTGTTATATTCTTTTAAATATAATTTGATTTAAAACTTTTAGAAATTAATATAAAAAAGAAGCTTAATATACAACTGCTGATGGGTATCTTAGACATGTTATCCCTAAAATTCAATATAGTTGCTTTCTTTGATAAAAAATTACAACGTTTTAAACCTGGTAGAGGTCATGTCGTTGCAATTTAATTTCTTAACCAAGTCTTCACAAAATAAACCAGCCACAGATTATTTGTTATAAATTGTTGCAGGAAAGGGTGATGGTTGAACAGACATAATCCATTTAACAACTCTTTCAATTTTGAATTACGAAAAACAGATTCCCCTCAGTTTATATAGCATCATGTTTTTAGTGAATATAGCAGCGGAAAGGTTTTGAATGTGATTCAAACAATGGTCCCTGTACAGATTTAAATTAATTTTATATTTTCTGAATTAGCCTAATTGAATCCAATCTTCCGTCATCCCTCATTATAATATAGTTGTCTGTGATAAATGAGCATAGCATACTCATTCTGTATTCAAACTATTGATGTGAAGCCCATTTCTGGTGTCCCCCGCCGTGATATTGCTGGACTATTGCTAAAAGCGGCGTTAAACCATACTCAATCAATGGCAGTATAAAATGTGAGAGCAGTGAACATGACAATGACAAGATTAGTTATCACCTGGTCGCCACAGTGTTCAAGATTCCGAGATACACCTGGGCGGAACACCTTCACACGAAAGCTGGTCTTAATGTAATGTCAGATAAAATGTCTTATGAAATGTGAAATGACAGGCACGTGCCCGCTCCACTTCTGTCTGTCGTCTAACCAGCTTCCAACACTTTCCATTCAGTGCTTGACCAGTCCAGTGTCACAAGAACATCACTGAATATTCCACATGTTTCTATAACGATTGAAATCCATCCATACTATTCCGGAAGTTTACAGATCACTCGAGCTTCTAAATATAATAAATCTCACTGCTTACATTAAATTATATGACATTCCTGTAAACTAATCATTGTCCATATACAATGCAATGAAGTTCTACTGAATCTCAACAGAAACAATATAATACAGTTACAATCATTGTTTAACAATAATTTTCACTGCTATATAACATTATTAACACTATTTATCTTTATTTTTATACAATTATGCATATCTGCATCCACATGTTCATATACCTGTATCCCCTTGTCGAATTTATATTTAGGAACTACTACGGTACAACTCACGATAGGAGTCCTTTATGCAAGCCTTTTAAAAACAATATATATATAAATATATATTTGATAATTTGATCATATATTTGATATATATATTATTGATAAGACTAAATAATATTGAACAAGTATCAATACACATATTAAACATAAAATAAAACTAGAAATTCAAATGTTATTTCCGTGACAACACATGAAAATGGCTCACACGTGAGAGGTAGAAGTAAGAGTAATATGGTTACAGATGAGGTCGAGCAACTTATGCGTTCCAAGGTTTCTTACAGGTGCAGAGTCATTGGTATAGCTCTGTCCTGTTCTTATATTACCCAAACGTTTGATGAGGGTAGAAATCACAGTTTGCTCCGACTGGTCAACTGTATCTTTATTGTTTAATATGTTTTATATGTTGGGATGGTTGGTGGTCATTTTGTTGATTCTTGCGTGCCACCCCTCAACATGATTCGTGGTTCGTGGACCTAGCGTGTCAAAATGGTTCCACATATTTCTGTCTTCTCCCTCAACCCACTGCTCAGTTACGTAATCAGCCAACTTCGAAATTGAAGGGTCTGCCATGTTAGCAGCTTCAAGGGCATTGAACCAGAAATCTTCGATATCTTCAGGTCTCAGTAGAGGTAGGGCAGAAGCTCTCCTCACGAACAAGTTCACATCTAGGTTGTTTGCAAAGGCACTTTGCAGACCACACTTCTGGACATTGCGCCAAACTGCCTGTCGATAGTGAAAGAGACACCCTTTCAGTTCACAGTCAAAAACATGTCTTACAGCATTCTGGACAGCTTTCTCAAAGTCAGTGAAGATGGTTCTTGGTCTTAGGTGCAGGTTGCGGGTTTCAGCATTCTGTTGGAGGATGGTGAAGAAGCGCTGATATGTTGATTGCTTCTTGTTGGGCAGGAGGGCATACAGTATAAAGCTGTTGGAACACCTCTGGGACTGCACTAAACGTTCCATCACAGAACAAGACCTCAGCGACAGACAGGTGGCACAAGTTTTGGGTTGTGGAGAAGATGAGCATATCGTCGTCTTGATGTAGCAGGAAGTCTTCGCCGTTGTTGGTTGTCTTATACATGTCAGGGAGGTTGATGTCAGATCGTCGAAGAGGAAGAGGAGGGAGTTCTTTGGCTCCAGTGCACCTTCTCTCCTCTCCTACTCTTTATGCTGAATTTATGACCCTGTTAGCAAAGGTTCTGACCACTACGACTATTTGGAATAAATCGCACATTCACTTGTACATTCGCCATGATGCAAGGAAGTAATGATGAAATACTTACTTACTTACTTTGGAGATTTAACGTGCGCTTTCCGACTGATGCGTATTTCGCACACGGGCCCGGCCCGGCTTACTTACTTACTTTGGAGATTTAACGTGCGCTTTCCGACTGATGCGTATTTCGCACACGGGCCCGGCCAGGCCATTTAATGTGTTTCCGAAAGGGGCGAAGGTGGTCTGTGCAACCCAAGAGGGGGGTTTTAGGGGTTGCTTATATAGAATTTGGGAATTTTGAGATTTGGAATAGATGCCGATGGGATTGGGGAGGAGAACTAAGGGAGCTGGGTATGGTGGATGTTTGTTTGTTTATGTGATTTTGATTTGGTGAGTTATTGTGTTTTTAGATGCGTTTTATTAGTTCCGTTTTGATTAAGAATACGCCTAAGGCCTTGAAGTTTTCTAGTTTATTTTGTGGGTTTAGTATTGCTTCTAGAGTTAGAGCCTTGTTTAGATTGAGGGTGGTTTGTAATGCGGTTCGATGTGTTAGGTAGTGTGTGCAGTGGATGAGTGCGTGTTCTGGGGTTTCTGGTTGTTTGCAGTGCGGGCAGTTACCTGTAGTGTGTTTTTTAAATTTTTTTAGGTGGTTATTTAGGTTGGTGTGTCCTGTTTGGAGTTTAGTGATTACTCTGTCGATTTTTTTGGATGGATGGAGAATTTTTGGTTTGGTTAGTGGTTTGCTGAGCACTTTTTTGATTTGGCTATTTGAGTTTAGATATAGGTTATGCCATTTTTTGGTGATTTTTTGTTTGTTTACACTGTTAATTTCTGATTTTGAGATGGGTAAGTTTAAGCTTATTTCTGGGATTTTGAGGGATAGTTTAGCTGCTTTATCTGCGTTTTCATTACCGTATATTCCTACGTGGGCGGGTATCCACAAGAAGGTTATTTGTTTGCCTGCCTTAGTTAGGTCGTTGGAGCTTTTAAGTATTTGATTTATTAATTTAGGTCGGTTTTTGGTATTTTTGTTTTGGAGGGCTTGCAGTCCACTTAGGGAGTCGGTAAGTATTAGGATTTTTTTGTGGTTTTTGGATTCTTGATTATGGAGGGCTGAGGCCATGCCCATTAGTTCTGCCGTGAATATTGATTGGTTGTTTGGGAGTCGGAAGGATTGTGTGGTTTTAGTTGGTTGTGTGGTATGGACTCCGAAACCTGTGTGTTTGGAGGTCGGATCTGAGGATCCGTCCGTGTAAATGTGACACCAATTTGGCCAATTTTCGTGTATGTATGCTAGTGTGGTAGTTTTAGCTATGTTTGGGTCGGTTTGTTTATTTATTTGGCTAGCTAGTGTTGTGTCTATTTTGGGTATTTTAAGTTTAGGGGTGAAGATATTTGATTGTTTGCAGTTTTGTTTAAGATTTTTAATTTGGTGTTCATTTAGGTAGTTTGTTATTCTTTGGGATATTGGGGTAAGTAAGGGGTGTTTACGAGCTAGAGCTTGGTTTTTGGGGCTGATGTTTTGGTTTATTAAGTTTTGGATGAGAGGGTTTGATTGGGACGCGGCCCAGAAATTTAAGCTTAGCTGTTCCCTGCGTAGACTTAGTGGCATTTCTCCCGGCCCGGCCATATTGATGAAATAATATACATGCTTCACTAATAGTGTTCACTCACTTTATTCTAATTAATTTTGATTAAACACTATATATTAAACATTTTGACACGTGAACTCATATCACTAACATTCACCTTAAGTTACGTGAACATGGTTCATATCAGCTAATAAGTAAACGCCTGTCTCTAGTCATGCGTGATTGCTTATCTGCCGTAATCCGGCTAATGCGGATTAGATTTAGTTAGACTTACTTAATCCATATAATCTGCTGGCAAAGTGAGAACAAACCAAAAATAGACACCCCAAAACCGTAATCCTTTCAGGCTCATTAATTCTTCAATTCTGTTTTAAGACCTTTCATGCGTTGTTTCAATGGTTGTTTTCATAAATGTTGAATGTGTATTATGATTATTGTATCAGATTGGTTCAATGGTTGTTTTCAAATATGTTGAATGTATTTCATGATTATTGTCTTAGATTTCTTGAACATTGTATGGTTTCAACTACACGCGTTGGTTCATTGTTAAGTTATTGTTTAATGTATGTTGAATCTTCTATAACATTTTAGGAGTATTTTCAACACTAAGTAATGCGCACTTTTCCACTATAGGTATCACTTTTGTAGGTTGTAGTAATTTCGATCACCAAAATATGAAATTAATTATTCCTGATCAACATCTTGGTAACCGTTTTATAAATAGGAAATCTAGTACAAGTATCAACAACATCGAAAAGTAAAATATGTCATGTCGTCAATATGTGTAAATTCCTTGATGGCAGTAATGCTGGACTCATGTTGATAGTCAATCAGCTTTGTTCTTGGTAGGAAATGAAATACCTGTAACTTGATGTTTATAGTTGAATGCACAATGACAGACAGACAGAAGTTTATTCAATATTTTAGGCCATATGACCTATAGTACAGAAGTGGGTTTTTTTGTATCAACATTGTACAGTAACGTGTAGGTAATAATAAGTTTACATATAATATTAACGTCTAATTTCAAAAATCTTCTTCAGGAATATTGACAGAGATGATATTGTATTAGCATTGCGGGAGTTCAACAAATTTTTCATCAGTTTTTCATCTTTGTACATAGTTGAAATCATAGGGAGGTATCTATTTCTAAGAAACTGATAATATTTACAAAGGAGAAGTACATGAAACTCATCCTCAACATAGCCTTCATTACAACAACGGCATAAACTACTTTCTTTATCTTGTACATTTTTCTTTCTGAGATTATTAACATTAACATTAACATTATGTAATGATATACGTAATTTACACAAAGATCTTCTCAAAGATCTATCCTGAAGTACAGATACATATTTATTTTTCAGGAAAAAAGATAAGGGTTTATGAAATTTGTTATACTTTTCAGATATTCAGGGGGTATACCATTCTCACCGGCTGCTTTACCCACTTTTAACTCATTTAAAGCTTGTTTAATTTCCTTTTCAGTAATTTCACCTGATAAGAGCTGGTCAGTAAAAGGCATAGAATTACAATGTTGACATGAATGGGAATCTAAAAATTCCTGAACTGATTTATCAAATTCATTAACATCTCTGTTAAAATCTGGATTTAATAAATTCTTAAAATATCTAAACCAAGTGTCAGGGGTTATATCACATTGTCGTGCGTACTTCTCAAATAGTGCTTTATAGTATTCCAGAACTCTTTACAATCACTCATATTTGCAGCCTCGGTTAATTTTTTACTCATATATATTTTATACTCATTTTGTTTAGTTTTACACTTCTTTCTGAATTCAGTTTTTGCACATAAATAGTCTTTTAAGTTTGAGTCACTCTTGAATGATCTGAAACGATTTAGTAGCATGTGTTTCGTAGATTTAAGTTGACAGCACTCTGCATCAAACCATAACGGTTGCTCTTCAGAGGTTTTATTTCTAGACCATCTACAGACTGCCCCCGCCTTTTACCCACAGTAGATAAGTATATCAGCTAATTTCCTAACTGCAGCGTTTATGTCAGTTTACAAAACAGAAATAAAATCGTCAAACATTCGGCTACTTTCTCTGCTGAAAACATATTCTTGATATGCTGGTATTCTGTCTATAGGAAGCCTATATTTAGGAACAGGAGTGAGGGTAATACCAACAGTGTTCTCTGTAGCTTGCTTACTTTGTAACTCTGACGTGAAGACATGTTCCATACTACATAGAACCGGCAAGTGGTCAGACTCGGTTCTGTTAAGAACCACCAAATCAATAACCCTAGAGAAAACCTCAGATGATACAATAAAGTAGTCAACAGTACTACACCCAGTATGGGAAACAAAAGTAAAATTTCCATTTCTATCAGATGTAGATCTTCCATTTACAATATGGATACCTAATATTTTACATAGGTCTAGCAATGATCTACCAAAATTATTGATTTGTGTATCACATGACGCACGGGTTAAAGAGAAATTATCAGATTTATAGTCTTTATTAATGGGTAAATAGTCAGTCTCATCATTCATGATAAAGTCCTCTTCACTTCCTGTTCTAGCATTGAAATCACCATATAAGATGAATGTCCTCCCCTCCCCATAGTCATGGATTATTTGACAGAGCTGCTCTTCCAACTTGTCAATTTCAGTTCAGTCTTCATTATCATAGACAGGAGAATGTTCAGGGTGAATATAGATGAATATCAGGAATAATTGCAGAGAAGAAGTTGGGTTTGTCAATCTAAAAAAAGGGCATTATCCCACTGACAGTAAACTTGCTTATACTGTGACGATAGATATGTCTTTATGCTTACAGCTATGTCACCTGAAAACCGACCTTTAGTTGCAGATCCTTTGGCATTACAGACAAATACATCATACTCATTAAATATGTTTTGCAAGCTATCTAATGCATCAGTACACATTGTTTCTAAGAAACAGAAGATATTACACTGTTTGCAGAATGTAATGAATACTTCACTTTTGATTTCAAGCCATGGATGTTCCAGAAACAAATACCAGTACTGCGGTTAGGATTTTCCAGGGTGACATTATCAGTAGCAGATGTGTTTGTCAGCTCATTTGATATACTGGGATCAGTTTTAGATATACTGTTACTGTTTGTTGTTGTGTCAGGCGGATATGTATTTACCACTGGTAATGAATCC